ATCTGGCGAAATTGAGAAATAACTCTCATTGTCACCTCAGTCTTCACTGACATGGTCATTCTCGCTGACGTCACAACAAGAATTTCCAATTGAACCACAAATTAGCATTCAACCAGTCATTCGGTCAACAGACAGCTGCTGATAGAAGCTTTTCCCTTTCCCGTCCAATTTTCATATCGCAGAACAAAATTTTTTTTTGTTCTCAAAATTATCTTGCAGTTGTCGTTCGTTTTCTTCTTCTCCTCTTCCTCCTTCCCCCTCCCAGAACAAATGAATTGTGTGCATTGCAACGTCAGTCGTCAGAAGCTCATTTCCCCCACCATTTTATGTATATTAAAAGGTTATTTAGAGCCAACCCCCTTCCCTTCTCCTCCCTCCATCTCTCTCTCTCTCTCCCTCCCTCCCTCCCTCCCTCTCGCTTGAGCCTTATCAATTTCATTAAAAGAAGTAGTTGGTGCATGGTAGACATGAGAGTTGAAGAGAAGTATGAAACAAGATTTGCTCTTTGTATGCATGACGGCTTTCATTCGACTATATTAATATAATTATATACATATAGTTTATAGAAAATTATATTATTAGAGCATCTATTTTCTGATTCTGTTAAGTCTTTGTTAAAGTTCAGCTCGTTCTCATTAGTTATTCAGTATTTCGTTAAAGCTTGATTGAACAACACATATTCAGTGTGAGGCAGGTGTAACAAGACGTTCTTACTATGTTTCGAAAAATTTAGAAGAATCATATCTAGCTGCATAGCTACCATTCTTCGGCTCTTAATTTTCCTCTTTGAGGAAGTGATGCCGGTAATAGCCATATCAAGTCATTTATGATCCTTTGCCATGTTCTTTGAATCAGAGTCTGCTCATGCACTGCTCAATTGAATTTCAATCAACTGTCTTTAGTCTTTAGGATATTAACTTTCTGAAATATATGTAACACTATATATCTATTCTAATTATATGGATAGCTTTCTCGTATTCAAATCAAGAGTGTCCAGGTGTGCTGCTGCTGCTGCTACTGCTGTGCTCATGCTAATTTCATGTTCACGTGAAAAGCGACGCTGCGTGTGAGTGACGTGAACATATCATTTCAAACGCATTCAATAGTCATGAACGGTTGAACATGGAGCATTCTAGTTTAATCTAATATTATTTTATTATTCCGTTAATTCCAAGGAATATATTTCTGCAATTTATTCCATATCATTAGCAACTACATTCAGCTGACATGATGTGTAGCTTAAGCTTGAAAGTAAATCTTACTTTTCATTTCACCCTTCTAAACTCTCTCTCTCTTTCTCTGTTACTTCTCCCTGTGCGTGTATGTGAGGGAGTACGAACAGTCATTTTGTTGGATTCTCTCTCTCTGTTCAAGTATAATTATAGATATCTATATTAGTAGTTTAGACAAATGCTTGTCTCATTCTCAAATCATAGAGTAAGGAAATATAAAATATAGACAAATGTCATGATCTCGTAATCAATCTCAAACCTTTTTCTAAACAAAACTTTGTGTTGTGTTGAAGACGAGAAGTGTTTTTTGTGTGCTGCGATCGCATATCCATTACTCTTCTTACATTCCTTTTTCATATTTATAATATCTTTCTTCATCTCAATTTCTCTCTTCTCTTCTCTCCCCTTACATCTTTTGTCAGCCAGAAGGCTCTCAGAAACTAAATGTGCATTTCATTTAGCTTAAGAGGTGAATATTTGAACATCGAAATTTATTGAAAATAAGCTTGAAATAGAGGAAAGCTCGAATCGGAGGGGAGACATTGATACGTGTTGCTGCTGGTTGAGCACCCCTCAGACCTTTTATATGAGCTCTTTTTCAATTCTCATCCATTCTTCCTACTAGCTCTTTGCCCTCTTTCAGTTGTTTCCATATATGTATCTCTTCTCCTCCACTTTCTCTTGCTCTCTCAACCCTGCTTCTTCTCTTTTTATCTGTCCCTCTTTTTCTCTTTTCAAAATCCATTCATTTTGAGGTCTTCTCACTATCGCTTCTCACAAATTTCATATATCCACTTTCATAGTCTCATTAGGTGATATCACCCTGCGGCCTTCTAGCCCCTTAGGCTATATTAAGCAATGATCTTCCTTTTGCTTCTTTCTTCCCTCTATCATATCTCTCTCACTCTCCTTCTCTCTCTCTCTCTCTTCTTGTGTCTTCTGACACATAATATTTTGATAAGAAAGTTGTGATAAAAACAAAATTATAATGATCGCTTCTGGGAATGCTCTTCCCTTCAACGAAAGATAGATGAAGCTGACGAACTTCTATCTCAAGGAATATACTATAGATCCATGAGTGATATTTGTGTACGCCATCGAAAGCTCTTCAATCGCTAACGAGAACAAACCATAAAAGGTTGTTGCGGTTAAATGCTGTATAACACAACATTCTCTTATTGTATGCGAATTCTCTCGTGAAATTTTATGGCAACCGGGCTTCTTTCCATGTTATTCCTTCGTTCTCTTTCTCTTCCAACAATCTCAATCCGTATTTGCTTCCTAGCTTATCTGATTCCTCTTTTCATTTACATCTCTTACTTATGCCAGTCATTCATTCATGCGAGGTGCAATCAAACGTAAAGTTTGTGAAATCTTTTGAATTACGCTCCTCTCTATGGAGGTGTGTGGTCTTGTAAGATTTCTATTATTGACTACCAGAAATAACAAGGAAACAAACGAAATTACGGGTACTTAGCTATTTAACAGTCGCTTTTCGACCTCGGTCAAGACAGTAGCAACTCTCCTCGCATACTCGCATACACACGCACATACACACAGGCAGAAATCCCGTTTTGGATTGAATAGGGCCATTTTTCTTAACAAGACATATGAATTAGTAAGAAATGAGTATGAAGTAGAGACAAGGAAGAGGGTCGTTTGATTCTTGACTGATTTGACAAAGAACAACATAAAGGAGATATGAAGCGATCTATTAACTTCAAACTCCACAGGACATTAGAATTGGAACGATCTCCTCTCATCCTCATTGGACTGACATGATTCTATTGTTACTTTTAACTATCTTGTAATTTTATTTCTTACCATGCTTAATCCTTTGTTATCTTCCTCTCCTGAATTCTTAATTATAAAGATGAGACAGTCCTGTTGGCGCAGACATCTGTTTTCTGACGTCGTGACGATGTTGTGGTTTTCTCTTCTGTTGCGATCGTTCTGTTGTGGCCCAACCAATCAGCCCTATGTGAATGCATGTGTTGGACCGCCCATCATTTCTCTGTCTTATTTTTTCTCTCTCTCTTTCCTCTCTCTTTGTACGATAAATAAGTTCTTTTCTCCTCCCATCGCAACCACATTCTGCACTGTCTCGTCATCACAGAGAGAAAAAAGAGAAAGAGAGGGAGACTCTCCCTATATGCCTCTTTTGAAACCTTCGACACAGTGTTGAACTCACAGTTCTAAATCTTCCAGTATTTTCATCGCGGAATAAGAGCTGCAATCTGTTCTTCTTGCTGCCATCACTCAGCTAGCTACCTCTCTTCCTACCCTACTCGAGCTGGTATATTTTATACTAAATGATGTAAAAATCGGCGAATGACTCAGGAAAGTATAGCGCCAATGCCTAGGTTCGTGATCTTTCTCATTAATCCCACATTCATCCATCCATTTATTTCATTTCGAGTTAGTGAGAGACAGAGGATTTTTCTCTCGTCTTTCATGTTTCTCACTCTCCATATATGGTGCGTTGATAGCTAACCTTCGCACACATGCCTGTTTTGTTGCCTACGAAAAGTAATCCAACAAGCCTCATGCTTGGAGGCTTTCCTCCATTCATCATCATCATCTTTCATTTCGTTCTATTTGATAATCAGAAAAGGAAAAGTTGTTTAATTCGTTCGTCGTCTCTTTCCAAGTTCTTCTCTTCTCCTTCCGATCATTCAGTTCATTTCCTCTTTCTTATCTGTTAAATGAACTTGTCCTTAAGCTTGCCTTACCTCTCTGTCTGTTTACATGCCCATGTGTTCTTTAATTCCCTTGATTCGTAAGCGAATTATTTTCTCTACAGTACAACGAAGCGATCAGCTTGTACCGCCCTCGACACCACAACGGCAGTTCAAGCCAAAAGAATGGCTGCTCAAGTGATGTCAGAAGCCTATCAGCAGTACGATGCTTTCCGAGTTGAACATCAGGTTTGAACAATGATTGATTAGTATATATTTGAAAAAAAACAAAAAAATTGGGGGAAAAAATGTATTTGATGAAGGATATGATATCCTTGGGTCTTCCCTTTCGCTCCACACCCATATGTGGTTAATTTGAATCATCTTTGATACCAGTTGAAAGTCCTTGGTCCGCTTTATCTGACCCTACGGATTGATAATTGCATTATTCCGTCTGAATGATCACACCTAATCGCACTTTAAAAGTGTTGTAGACTATCATTTGAATGGAAATTCGTAAGATTCTTTTTCTCGACCAGCTGACTAACGATACAAACATCACCCACCCATCTCGTACACAGACTACTGAGCTATTTTGGCATGGAGTGAGAGACTTTGAAGAGGAAGAAGTCGTTTTTAAATAATTTTTTGATCATGTCATTCATAGCTAAAAACAAGTTTCTTATTATATACTGACTAGTTGGAAAAAATCTTGGAAGAAGACACAAAAACAGGAAAACGTTTAATGCGAGCATCAAAATGTAACACAAAAGATGGGGAGGAGGAGTAGTAGTAGTAGAAGAAGGGGGGAATTGACAGGGGGGAAGATGATGCAGACACTAATAAGTGTTCCTATTCCCTAATTAGTTTGTAATCAAGAAAACGAATGTGAATTCTAATGCTTTGTGATAATCCCTTGCCAAATATGGATTTTTATCCCTTTTTTTTGAACCAAACCATTCGAAAACTGGATATCGTCTGCATAATTGCAATTCTACGTTCGATGCCATTTTCATTTTTTAAGGAAAATGGGAAAAAATAAATTTAAAAACTTCATATATGGTCATTGTACTCATCTATCTACTTACAGGTAAATCATGTATTACAAAATGGATCAGGAGCTACAGCTAGTTCCTCTGTATCTCAGTTGGATATTACGGGTGGAACTCAACAACAGCCAAGTAGCGTCTTACGGGTTATCATCGAGAACATGGTCTATCCAGTTACCTTAGAAGTTCTTCATTCGGTAAGTATCCTCATTCTGGCTTTTACATTATCCTCTCCAAATCCTCTCACACACACTCTCCCCCCATAATTACACTCTCTATATCTATCCACTCTCTCCCTTTATAACTATGCTTGCCGTTTCCTGAGAAGTTCTTCATCTCCATTTAGTTTTTTGTTCTCGTTTTGCCACAGCTTATCCCATCGTAATAATTCCAAAAAAGGGGGGGATTAAGCACCTCTGAAATTCAAACCTGTCTCGGTTTATGAAAACTAAACATGAAGATCTTCCTTCGTAATCGTAATGGAGAGGTTTCAAAATGTGTATGACGCTATGCAGCTCAGTGTGCAGCTTCACACATCTTCGAAAGTTTTCCATCCATATTCCCCAAGCTATATCTGTTCTATCTCTTATCTTCACCTTTCTAGCTCTTCTCCCGCTATGGCAAAGTTCTGCGAATCATCACTTTCAACAAAAATAGTAAGTTCAAGTTCTGAAGTATTATGAGTTCTAGTGAAATATGAAAGAGGATAACAGTTTGGTGAACGAACACGCAAAATTCTGTCAACTCTCCATCCCTTTGTCTGATATCTTTCAGTTGTTTCCTTTTTCTTCCATTCTTTCTATATATGTTATTCGAACGACTATGAAGGAGATTGAGTTAAGATATCATTCAAAAGTTGAAGACGAATGGTTTTCATTTGATGCACCAGCCTGTCTCTTTCGGTTCTCTCAAAACCTAATCACATGTATTTAAGATACATTCCAAGCCTTAATCCAAATGAACGAAGCAAGTTCTGCTCAGATGGGAAAACAGAACTTAGAAAATCAAAATGTCTACAACGGGTATACACACATCCAATACATTCAGACACACTTCAACTCTATCGTTACAGATGTTGCACATTACGAATTGATTATAGCAAGTTGAGCACATTGAATGTAAAATACAATAACGATAAGAGTCGTGACTATACCAATCCTTCTCTGCCTTCAGGCGAAATCTCCATTGAACAAACATTCGGACTGAGTTAGTTTTTGTTTTTTATGTTCAATCCATAACATTAGTTTATTATAGCTGGTGGAATTCCATCTCTGCATTCTTTACTTCCCGCAGCTTCTCCTTATTCTTTCGCTTTTGGAGCTGCAAATCCAGCTGCAGCTTTTCTTCAACAACAGGTCGCAGCTGCTGGTATGTTATATATATTTTCATTTAATTGAGTTTAAATACAATAAGAAAATAATCATATCCTGATTTTTTTTGTTGAGAAATACTCACAAGCTGTTGTTTGTACAAGCATATTGTAGAGAGAATTGACTAATTCGCCAATTCACTACCCTATCCCCACCATTCTATTCCGCTAAATTCAATTTTCTAATAATATGATTGTAGGTGATACCAGCCAAAATGCTCTCTCACCATATCTTCCAAGCTTAGGAGCTTTAACTGGAAGTGCATTGGGACCAGCGAACGCTATTAATGCTCTTCGTTTCCCTATCAACGTCTTAGGCTTAACACCTGTCATTTTGGTTTCGAACTTGGATGAAAACGTGAGTCTTACCTTCACCTCATCATTCTGAACGTTTTGTTTCCAGAAGGTCTCACCTGATGCTCTATTCACTCTGTTCGGTGTCTATGGAGACGTTTTACGTGTTAAAATTCTTTATAACAAAAAGGATAATGCTTTGATTCAGTATAGTGAGCCACAACAAGCTCAGTTAGGTGAGTATTTGCATACAGTAGAGAGTTACGTGGGTGTATCCTACGTGTAAGCCGTGACGCGTTCATTTCATTTGTTAATGAAAAACTCGAGAGAGCGGTTGCATTCCAAACCTCTCCGTTCAACTTATCCTATTGTATTCTCGTTTTTCAGCTTTGCAACATCTGGATAAGGTTCGCTGGCATGACAAGATAGTTCGAGTTGCTCCTTCGAAGCACACAAATGTACAAATGCCAAAAGAAGGTAATTGCAAATGTTTGTTGTTATTAACTTGAAGTGGTTCTCAGGACAGCCTGATGCTGGTCTAACTAGGGACTACTCTCATTCACCATTACATCGCTTCAAGAAGCCTGGAAGGTATAAGCCTCCTCTTAATCTCCCTCATCGAACTTTATTTTCAGCAAGAACTATATGAACATTTATCCGCCATCAGCTACTCTTCATCTATCCAACATTCCACCCAATGTGTCAGAGCAAGCTCTAACGGAAGCTTTTGAAAATAATGGATTCTCAGTGAAAGCATTCAAATTCTTCCCGTAAGTGACTTTTAGTTTTTTTCATTTTCATTATATTACATTCAGGAAAGATCATAAGATGGCATTGATGCAGTTAGATGATGTTGAAACAGCCATTGAGGGCTTGATCCATATGCACAACCACAAGCTGGCTGAAAATGCACATCTACGGGTTTCATTTTCCAAGTCAGGCATTTAAGACTTTGTGATCTGACCGAACTGATTCGAAGAGATAATATTAGCATATGAAGAGCAAGTGGTCATACCACTAGCTGTCCATTTAATAATTTTTTAATTATTATTATTAATAAGAGACTTTCAATTACAAGAAGCGCTCCCCACTGATTCTTATACAAAAAGGTTTATTGAAGGAATTTAGTTAATTTATTGAAGTTTTATGGTATGATTTTGTTATTTTATCACAAATGGTTCACATCAACCAACTAACACGTCGATCTATGAGATCATCTCTCTCTGTTTCACTAAATTCCTTTACTTACGCAAAGACTATCTTTGATTGCGTGCATCTTAGACGATAGTACTCCGCTGCACACACACGTACGAATTTCATTTCTGTACATTTCCCTTACAGCCAGTCCCCCCTTCTTATATGTCTCCATTTACTCTCTCTCTCTCTCACTCTCTCTCTCGTTATGAGTTGTATAGATAGTTGATCTATGAGATGCACTTGCTTTATACAAAAAGCTTTTCTTGATAATTATGCTTTTTTAAACGACGCTAATTGCTTTATCATCCGTTTCCTTCCAAGATGAAGGTTCGTATCAACTACTAAAAGCATTTCCCATCCAATATTCTGTTTCACACATACTTTTCCTGTTTTTTTAACAGCATGGCTTTATAAGCACTTTGTATTTTTACATTTTCTGTATCTCTATATACGATTAACGAATTTAGAGTATTTGTATTCGATTATGCTATTTTCAACTAGTCCTGTGATAATAAACTTATTCAACTTGTTGATTCTCATATTGGTCTTTGGAAGTCTTACACGGCTTTCCATTGTTCCTAAGTTAACTGAACACTTCACAACATCTTCTAGAAGAACATGAACTTTGAAGAATATATCAGAAGGTTCACAAGATGAGCCATACAGTATGACCAACGGGCATAAGAAGTATTCGCGCCCTATTTCGAAAACGCGGGAAGGCTAAATTTTTCGAACCATCGCATTAGCATAAGAAAGCATATTGCTAATGCGTTTGTTCTAAAGATATTTTTTGAGCATTGGTTGTATTCCGCTAGAATTTCAGATTTCCATAATATTGTACTTTCAGTAGCTTCTCGTCACAATGATCAATACAAAGCCCAGAAAGGGAAGTAACACTTCTGAAAAGTTGAATGTTCTTGTAGCTGTTCGAGTCAGGTTCTCTCATATCCCGGAAAGGATTTAATCGAGTATCTGTAGGCCTATGAATGAGGAAGAAAAGGTGAAAAGTCAGTCTATTGTCAAAGCAGACGGATTAGGGAAAGTGGTATCATGTAAGTCGAAGCAGTTCGGTCCATTCGACTATGTAAGTCATGTAGTTCTCATCCATTTCACTGTGTTTCTCTGAAGGTTTATCCACCTAATAGCTCCCAGTTAATGGTTTTTGATAACATTGTTGAGCCACAAGTGAAGAAAATCTTGGCGGGTTTCAATTGTACTGTATTCGCGTAAGCTTTCTTCGGTGTTGTATCTTAGCAAGAGGGACATTTTCAGTTATGGTCAAACAGGAACAGGAAAGACCTACACTATGGAAGGTGGTCAAGCAGATTCCGACTCAGCTGATGCTGATGAACACACTGGAATGACCCCAAGAGCTGTAGAATTAATATTTTCTGAACTAGAAAACGCTGTAAGTTCTAGCAGAGAGTCTATCTTATCAGCATGATTTGAAGGGCGTAGAAGAATACTCGGTGAGAGTTTCTTACTTAGAGCTCTATAACGAAGAAATCTATGATCTCCTATCATCAGGCACTGAAGACAGAGAACGTTTACGTATATTTGATGATCCATCGAAAAAGGTCAGTACTCTTTAAGCGGATGCATAATCTTCCGGCTTAAGGGTGCCGTCATTGTGTCCGGAGCTGAAGAAGTTCCAGTACGATCAAGAAAGGAGGTCTATGATATTCTGAAGAGAGGAGCAGAGAAACGTACGGTCGCTTCTACACTCATGAACATCGCATCAAGTCGATCTCATTCCATTTTCTCCATATCAGTAGTAATAAGAGAAAATACTGAAAGCGGAGAAGAGCTTGTTAAAACTGTAAGTGTTGAAGTGAAGTTTGTGGTTGATCTCTCTGGTTAAGGGTAAATTAAATCTTGTGGATCTTGCTGGATCCGAAAACATAGGACGGTCTGGTGCTGAAGGCAAGCGAATGAAAGAAGCTGGTACGTTTAGAGTTGCAAACGTTTGATGAGTTTGAGTGTTTAGGTAATATTAATCAATCTTTGTTGACTTTGGGAAGAGTTATCACCGCTCTAACGTCTTCTGGTCCTCATGTACCATACAGGTTTGAAAATTTCTTGAAAAAGTGTTTCATTCATTCGTTTTTAAGAGAGTCGAAGCTCACTCGGCTACTACAAGATTCACTCGGAGGTTCAACTATAACAGCTATTATCGCCACCATGTCACCCTCGGCCTCTAATTATGAGGTTTGCCTAGCTTTCAGGAATGAATGGTATCCTTATTTCAGGAATCCATTTCCACTTTGGAGTATGCGATGAGAGCCAAGTCTATCAAGAATCATCCCGAATGCAACCAGAAAGTCTCGAGAAAAACACTACTCAAGGTGAGATTTTGGTTTGGTTCTGTTGTGGAACACTAGTGTGATGTTATAGGAGTATAATAACGAAATCGAGAAACTCAGAAGAGACTTGCGTATGGCTCGTGAGAAGAACGGTATCTTCATTAGTGAAGAGACATACAAGTGAGTTCACACAGAAACTTTTTAAGTTCATTTAAAACGTTGCAGTGATATGGAGAAGGACATCGCGATCAAGAATGAGTTGGCAGCCAAGATGGATATGATGGTTTCGAAGCTACAGAGAGTGAGTCGTATTCAGGGTGCTTTAATTGTCCATCCTTATTAGTTCATCGAAGATATGGAGATGATGGATGATCAATACAAAGCAGCTTATCAGACAAATAAGAGATTGCAATCCAAATTGGAAACTCGTGTTCAAGAGTTGGATTTAACAAAAAAAGATCTCGCTATGTGTCAGCAAAAGTTAAGCGCTCACCAATTTGCTCTCGATGATTTCAGTGAAGTAGCTAAGAGTTGTTATCAGCAAGCTAAACAGGTAATAATAGGTTTCAAACGATGTGGTTGTAATTTTGAATATCAGGCTTGTGAAGTGACTTCCAAGCAAAGAACTTTGATCGAGGAGTTGTGGAAGAAAGACGATGAGATGGTTGATCTGGCTGCTTCAAACAAGTCTTTGGTTATGGACACCTTCAGAAAGGTTTGACTCAATGTAGCCTAGATATTCAAATCGGATTTTACAGTTAGGATCAGTCATCAACTCAGTTAGAGATAGAGTAAACATCTATACTTCTGATGTACATAACGTTACTGATAATAAGCTGGTTGACATAGGTGGGTTCCAATATCTAAACGAAGTGTACCTTTATTGCTGCAGATTCATTCCATGTCTCAACTTCCGCAGATCTTGAAGTCGTCACTGCCATATTACAAAAGCTCTCCGCTGAAGTTGATGACTGTGTGAAGCAAGTGAGAGAAAATTCTAAGGCCACCGAGGAAAGTATCCAAGCCATCAACACAGTAAAGAATGAGGCCATAAGCTCGATTATGGAAGGAGTAAGGGAATGAGATTACATAAAGAATTAAACAATATGGTTTAGATCACGAAATCTATCAACGGTCATGTTGATCAGACTACTGAGTTAACCAACTCTTTCGAAGATATGTTCAAACGTATCAAATCCCTCACCGGAGATCTTGTGCAGGATACCAAATCTGCTGTAGGTTCACATAATGAATGCGTTTGAACAGGATAGTTTCAGACTGCTGAGAACAGAGAGAAAGTAAGCAAGTTATGTGAGGAACACTCGGTCATATTAGACTCCGTCGCTTCTGAATCTGAGAAGTATCAACAGTTGATGCAAACTCTGTTGAAGTCCTTCTATGATCAAAGCTTGCAAGCGGTAGCACAATATAAGGAAGGACTCGATAACTCAGCCAAGTAATTTTTTTTCGAAAAACCTGATACTTTTCTTTTGTCTAGGCAACTTCAAAGTCTGAACACACAAATTGTTGACAGTTCATCTAATTTGGACGAGCTAATAACAAATGACGTGCAGGGTGCCGAAGATAATATTTTGGAAGTTGTGTATGAGATGGAAGAGAACTCGAAACTTCTTTCTTCAAATATTTCGGAAACAAAGTAAGAGTGTCTTCTGGATGAAATTACTTTAGCTGTTCCTAGAACCTCAATATGTACTGCCTTGGCATCAGGATCACAAACCGCAGTTGATTGGGGAAGTCAAATTGAAGTTGCATATGGAGCTTTCAATGAAAACTTGGTTGGAATTTCTGAGTCTTCATCGACGAATCAAAAAACGTTCATTGAGGTTTGTCATTATCTCTCGTTTTTTCATGCTATAGCGAGAGTTCAGACAGGGCAGTCTGCTGTTGTACGTGTCCAAACAACTATTTCGGATGAGACAGAGGATACGTCAGCTTTCGTTAAAGATTTAGTGAGTGATTAAAATAATATGCAGATAATGATATCTTCAAGGCTTCCAAAGCTAAAACAGTTAATATCGAGCAAGAGAACGGCTTCAAGACTTTGGGTTCCTTCTGTGATGATTGTGAGAATGAATGGGCTTCTGAGGCCAATGGTAAGCGAGGGATGTTTCGAGAAGTTTCCAAAATTACAATTGTTCAGCAACAAGAAAGGAAAAGAAGCATCAACAAATGTTCGAAGTGAAAGACATACGACAGGTTCCCAAGAAGAAGGATGTGCTTAACGAGTATGGAGCTGATAAGTTCGACGAGAAGTCATTGGTGCGAACACGTGAAAGTTTACTAGAGATTAGAAACTTGTGTTCCCCTGATACTCTAGCTTTGAAAAAGAAATCAAGGTTTGATGATATCGAAGAGGTTAGTGAGTGCGGAGAAATCATTATTCATGAGTTGTTGCAGGAAGAGAACTACGATGTGAGTGTCTAAACTCAGAAGTTCGGTTAAAAATCTGGAACTTGCTGTAGTTTTGTATAATTAGTATTAATCAATATCGCCTTTTATGCTCTAATGATGTTCATATTTTATTATAATAAACCTTTTAAACATGTCACGTTCGAAATCTAAAACGACGATTCTCACGTAGAGGTGTGGTTGATCTCTGCATCTGCACTCCGTTTACGCCTTGAGAGTTGTTTACACTCTGCTGAAGGCTTCTGAAATATTGAGTTTGTCACGTTCTCATGTACTTAAATTACGTTCATCTTGACCCTTCTGATTTCTTTCAGTTTCAGCCTCCTTCATAGATTATGAGTTCATTTTTACGTGCTGTTCGTTGCAGTCCCAATCATATTCGACGTGCTTTCTCAGATGTTAAACCAAATGCAAGTGAAGCCACAGGTTCTGCTAAGGTTCTTCCTCGTCTATCACCTGTTTACTCATGTTTTACTTATTAGGCGGAAACCGCTGTAGAAGGACACAAGCCTATGTATGCTACCAGACAGAATTTCCAAAAAGAACTTGAAAAGAAAAGGTATCAAAACGCTTCTATTGGTATTCATTTGTGTTATTGCTCTTTGATTCCTTGAGCTTTAGAGTCAGGACAGCGGCCGACTAACATGCAAAGGAGATTTCTTGTATTAACCAAATTGTACAAAAAACAATCAGAAATTCCCGAAATAGTCAGGTATTCCATTGTTTGATAGCTTCCCCCATATATTCCAATCAGCAATGGAACGATGAATCGTATGCATGATCGTCTTCGGGTTGTATTTATTCTAACAGGATGCATTGGATTTTTCTCCATTTTCTATATTGGAGAACGCATCAACGCCCGCAAAATAGCTCGTGATCGAGATGCCGGTGTTGTAGTAACGAAGATGTAATTATAGGATATGTTATTTATTTTCAAAGAAGGGTATAGTGTAGATAAAGCTTTATCTTATCTCTTGTATATTTCATATTCGAATCTCGATCAATACTTTGTTTTTTCCGTCTCATTTTCCTTCCATTCTTTATTATTATTAGATGGGATTATTTCGAAGAGCTTTCATGTCCGCCATTGGAGTTCCAGATCACGAAAAGATTGCCGAAGAGGTTGTTTTCCCTTCCTTTCATTCCTCATATTCAACAGTTGCAGCAACGAAAGGGAACTTATACTTGGAAGAAAGAGCATTTAACTAAAGACCAACTGAGCAGAACCAGTGACAATGCTGATCGCTACAGTGGAGTACGTTTAAAACTTGATAATAGATGAAAACTCGGTTGAACTCTCAAACCTACGAGCCTCATGATTTCACTTCAGATTCCTGCCATCCCTACTGATATCGCCTATCAGAGTGGCAAAGAAATTTCTGGAAAAAAGCAATCAGGAGTTACAAGCAACATCACAGGTAATCCCTTCGTTATAGTTGGAATGGGATTAACCACAGCTGCTTTGTTAGGAATGTTCAAGTAATATTTCTCTTTTTTTATCTTTTTAATTTGATTCGTTGAAGATCTTCCTTCTTGGGGGACAAGCTAGGAGCACAGAAGTACATGCAGTATCGTATTATGGCTCAGTTCTTCACTGTTACAGCTTTAGTTGCTGGAGTAACCATCTTCGGTTCTACTTATGAGGAAGAGACGGTGAAGAAATCCGTCCCTCAATAGAGTGATTAATGATTGTATTAGATGTTTGCCTTTCTATTAAAGTTGAAGTAACAGGAGATTCTCCTGAACGGGAATTTCTTGAATGATTCGGTTGTAGGAGAAGCATTGTTCTCTTGTCCCGAACGAACTGTTTTCATAAGTCTGAAAACTGTCTTCTCTGTTAGATCTTTGTATAGTTCTGTATGTTTTCGTTTACATATTGTTTACAACACCCTAATACTAAGATACGAATTCCGTCATTAGTCAGATAGAATATCTCGTTCCAATTGAACAAAATAAAAGTTGAAAGAATTATTTTTATTGTACATATTAAGCAGAAGGCTGGCTCTCCGGCAAATTCAGATTCTTACGCAGTACTCGTACTTTTGATTTCACTATATCCCAGTTGAAGTAACATCCTTTTAGAGTCCGCTGGTTTCCAGGAGCATCCACATAATCATCCCTTGTATGCAAGACTCGTGTATTAGCCCATAGGACGGTGTCACCTAAACAGGAGAGTATCAAGGCGTTGAGGCTGTACGGCTAACCATCCTCTAGGTGCAGCTTGAGTACATTCTTCTCATCATAGCAGAGATTAGTAAATAGTTTCATGGCACTGAATATGCAGATTATTTTTCCCGCGAAAAAATCATTTTCAAAGAAAAATACGCAGAGAGCGGTTGGTAAAATAACTCACTCGTATATCTCTTGTATTTTATTAGGGTCGCAGTCATAAAACCAGCTTCTCATAGCGTTACCGAACTGAATTTTGATAACATGACCTTCCTCATCTAATCTGTAACACATTGTAAGTGGTTTGAATCATTTCTTGAAACTCACTTTATTACTTTATGTCGAGCAGTCATGTAGAAGTCAAATTTACGTGGAGCGCCATCAGGACCGTCGTGAACATCGTACCCTTCTTCTATGTATTCCATACTGTGTTTTGTTAAGAGGTTGAACGCATCAGGATTGATTAAGTTCAACTAATATGTTGATGATTATTTCAGACGATGTGGAAGCCTTACCATCTGAGCAACATGAAACCCGTCAACAAATAAACTGTTTCCTCCTTCGTGCGCTTGTTGAGCCATGTGTAGCATCTGTAGTTGAGGTGGGTGGCTCAAAGAGGGAAAATCTGTATGGAATGGGAGTCCAGAAGTGGAAGCATAGGCTTTGTTGCTAGCATCTTGCTTGGCCTTCACTTCAAATACCTCTCTGAGGAAACACAGGTTTGTTACAAAATGGTTTTATCAGTTACCCGAAATGAGTTCTTTGTAGAAACCCGATTCTGTCTGCGATTTCTTCGACTACTCCCTCACCATTAACTTTGGGACCATTACGGATAACCGCTAGACCGTCCAAACAAACAGCCTCCAGGAAGTCGTGCAAAGTCTAAAGTTCTATGGGTTACTAATCTATGGCACTTTAGTACTATGATTGCACTCTGACCTTATCATCGTACATGACATCATCATGATTAAATGTTTTTAATCTTTTTTTCATATCTTCGCTTGACCATGTCGTCTCGGGAAGTAAATAATTCAGACGGCGGTTTAGACGGGCCGAAGGACATGAAGGATTACGAAACCGCAACCATGTGGACGGATATCTGGATTATGTAATAGTAAGGTAGCTTCGTTATCAGCTAACCTGCTTACTATATCTCCAGGCCATTCGAGAACAAGTTCATTCTTGTCCTTGTCAAGCTTAATAGAAGTAGGAGATTGTTCAACATCGAACTTATCCATCACGAGATTTCTAAAGATCAGAGAAGAATGAGAAAGATTGTTTAGATACCAAGTACCGGGCGGTCATAGCAGGACTGAAAGTGTAAGTTTTGGGATCAGGGGAAGTATCACGAAGCCAGATTATGGGTAGAACTGCCTCATGTCCTGAGTGTCGTAGTAGAATTACGGGAAATTAAGATTTCATTTACCATCACACCATTTGATATTCAGAACGCGATCGTTCTCTGTGACTCTGATCAAGCGGATCGCATCATTTACAACGTGTGAGAATGTTGAGCAAAAGCTAAGATTACAAATTGTTTAGGAAAAGAAAAATTCAGAAACTTGCCGACGTCTTATTGTTGGCAACATGTTGTGATGATCTGAATTCAAATGAATAAGTAATAACTTTGATGACTGTAAAAGGACACAAAGATATGAACGAAGCTTGTTCACTTGGTTTTGTTAAGAACATAAATAGAAGGAGAGATAAGGGAAAGAAAAGGAGTGAAGGGATAAAATCTAAAAGACAATAGGTCTCGACCCCGTTCTAGTACTTATATGGAAGAGACAGAAGCATCTTGAGAGTGAAACAGAACAGAGGAGAGGGAGAGAGAGGAAGAGAGAGGGTGATAAAGAAAAAGACAATGATAAGACTAGAATAATATACAACAAGTACTTTGAACTCTTTTGCAGACCATATAAGAGCGAGACGCAAACGTGTCAATTAGGAACAAACAAGGAATTTGATGACGAGGCAGTCAGCAAGAAATAACTTTATAGTTCCTAAAAATGCACTTTCAGGAGAACTTGAAAGAAAAGAAAGCAAGAGATATGGAGAGTCCGATGGACTTCGCTCCTAGTATCTCTGTTTACAATTGATTTCCGAACAGAGAGACGATCAAAGATGGAAAAGGAAAGAGGAAGTAAGGCTCAATTCATGTATATACCATATCATTGAACTGATCAGCGTTTTCGAACTGGCAGTTGTTCTTTCGCTTTGTTGTAATCTTGTCATCTCTTTCACAAACAGATCTCAATTTAGTGTTTCTATGATTTATGTTTTTTTTATCCTTTATACGGTCTATACAGTTATTTACGTGCTTATTTACATTTACTTTCCGATTACATCGTTGACGGATGGGAATTTGATGCCAAGTCCTGTATTGACACCAACTCCCGCAAAGGGAACACCTACTCCAAAGTTCGTTCCAACCTGAAATGTTGATAACTCAGACACATTCCACTTTTCAGACTCACATTTCCATTCATGTAGTCAACTCCTACATGCTGATTCTGTTGATAGTATGGTCCAACTCCTCCTCCTACATCCACTCCAACTGGTTTTCCGAGCTCGCCTGGTTTCAAAGGAACGGAGACCTAAGAAGTTTGTTTTCTTCTTCATTAGTCGTGCAACTTACCACAGCATGAGTGTCTCCTTCAATACCTAGAGACTGAACTAGAGGTACACTCCATCCACTTTTATATCCGTATTTCCCTTCATACCAGTTAGCTCCAATCTCAGTAGTTTGAGACCAATAGTCTCTTGAATTTGTATCGTTTTTTTCTTTTTAACCTCGGTTTCTAACCTGACTCCGGCGTGATCAGTGAATCCTCCTCCCCAGGATCCGAAAGGAACACCGATTTCTCTTCCCACTTCGATAGCTCCTTCTTCATTGATAGGATAGTATGGAATTCCCTTGAATGCGATGTTGTTTAACTATGAGTTCTTGATCCGCGCTTACCTTTACGCCTACAGTTGCAACATTGATATTAACACCCGACGAGAATGAGTTAGCTATGCTGTATAGGGGATCTGCCTTTGGAATCATTCCCCCGCAATCCTTAAATGTTCCTTTCAACAACTTAAGTAAGAATCTAGGTCTACCTTGAAATATCCTTCGCATTTCTTGACATATGCTTCCTCGGTTTTATTTCCGTTACAGTGTTGACGAACGGTATTCAAGAACCTAAAACACTAGAGAAGTTCAGTTAAACGGTTTCCTCTTACTTGGCACAAAGTGTTTCTAATGCTATTGCTTTACGGTGAACATCTCTGTTTTCAGGTCTGGGTTCGATGTTTGAAGGTGGTTGAGGCTGAAAACAACTCATTTGAAAATTGCATACGCGGAGAACGGTTGTGTTATTCAATAGGGTTTGATCATGTCAGTAGATAGTTCTGACCTCTAAAACTGGAACAGCTTCTACCCTTGGCTTCTTGGATTCAGAACCCATGATATCACCGACGTTTTTACCATCACCGAATGGGTTCCTGTAGTAGGAACTAATAGACATTGTTCAGCTAAATGCAGTACTCACGTGGGTGGTTTCACTACATCTTCTGGTTCTCTAGGAATATATTGAGCACCACTTCCCAATTGACTGATCACATCTTCTTCTCTTACACCATACTCATTCATGATCTTGGCAAATCGAGCACGCTCAGCAGCTTGTTGCTGCAGAAGTTGGTTATATCTATGATGTCACAGTTATTAAATCTTGTGTTTGTTTCTTACTTTCTTATTTGAGTCTCGACAGCATACGTTCTCATCCTATTGAAGTAATCCTCATAGTAGCGATCACGTGAAGTTCTTTTGAGTTCATCGAACCGTTCTCTTTGCTCTTCATATGCCTCAAGCTTCCGTAAGTATGCCGCTTCATCAGCACTAGGCTCATGCCTTCTAGATGATGAAGAAGGATGGCGAGCTCTAAACGGTAACATAATTGAATTCTCCAGATGTCCTTGACCACAAAGCAATGAAGGATAAAGCAAACTTTGAAAAACTCACATGTGATGACTCCTTCTTCTTCCAGTGATGAAGTCTCGATGAGGTCTAGCAATTGGAGGAGATATGGTAGTGTAATCCCTTAAGTGTTCATATCTCTTCTGGTTTCAGAAGTATTCTGTACCTTTCCGTCGGTACAAAGTGTTGCGCAAGAAACAGCGGAAATATTGATAGAAGTAGAAGTCGTGTAATCATCACCTGAAATGGTAAGGTCAGTTAGAAACTAACATCTCTTTCCAGAAAATAGTATTCGAAAGAAGAAAAAAAAGGTGTTGGAACATGAAGGAAAGTTTGTGGCAGAAGCTTATGATGTCAAGAATGACAAGCGCTTAGCAGTTGATGTAATAGTGATCAAACTTGGTTTAACCCGTTTGACCTTATCGATAGGAAGGTGGATGCTTCTAAATGAGAGAAATCAGAAAATGATGAACACGAATTGGAAGAGAAATAGTTGTAGTGACTACAATATTGAGAAAACGATGATATTTTGGAATTGCCATCGCATTATCACTATCAATTCCTCCAGATGGTTGATAGTCGAGAAGACTTGAAGGATGGAATAGCGTTCCATATATTCATATTATGATTGTGTCTGTTTCAATCTGTTTGAGAACAATGAAGAATCGAAATATGTTTTATTATCTTCTTTATCCACCGTATATTACACGTTGATAGATATCTATACAGAAATACTTATATTGAGCACAGGGTAATAGGTATTTGGCGTATTTCAGGAGATCCAGATCTGTGCAGTAGTTACGAGCAAACCTCCTCATCTTCCCACACGGTGCAGCCCATTCTCGGATATAGATGTGACCATCATTCTATTAAACACATTTTTACTCTAGTCTTTGCAGGTGTTCGTACCTTATCTTTGATAGGAACTGGTTCGTTCGGGACTACCGCATCGGGACATCTGTACTTGTATCGAGCACAGAACTCGATAGCCTGAATTGGGATTAGCCAGTGAATTACAAAACTCTGTTCAAACCTCATCCTTGTGAGCATGAAACCGTAAAGGTTCTGGACAAACGTAGTCGAATCGTTCCCGATGTTTCAAACAATACGCTCGGAAGTCAACTTCGATTGTTCTGGAATCAAACGATAACTCGGTAAGTTCAAATATCTCAAACTTTAAATTCGTAAACAGATTCGTTTTCAGTGTATCGCTGCATGATTCTATGAATGCTTCACAGAAGGCCTAAATACTGAAACTCCTTGTTGCCTTCAAACAGTGCGTACCTTCGTTTCTTGAAAGGCTTCTGCAGGAGGAGGGCTGAAGCAGACGACGTCGTACTCTTTTTTCAACTTCTTACAAGCCTTTATGCGCAATACTATGAGAGAAGTAGAGAAATCAACATACCGGATCTTCTCCTTTCTGTCCTTCGGAATCTTCTGAATCAACTAATGCTTACTAAAAGCGTTGTAACTCTTACCTGATCTGGCTGTTCGATTTCGGTTCAGATTGGGACAAGCAAAGTTCACTTCATTCTTTGAACAAACGTACTCAGACAAACTGACTGTAGTAGCTTCATGTACAAGGAATAATAACACAAGGTAGATTTTCATAATTGCATGAGGATTTGATATAATGATATGGCTTCTCTGACGAAGATGATAGTTCAATCATCTGGCATCTTAACGTTACACCGAAAACTTGTTCTTCGCCCACTTTTTTGTTTTATTTTCGTAATATTTAATCAATTATAAGTTGAGAGATTACTTCTTGAACTATGAAATCTTAGTTCGAAGGAAGTAGAAAGGGTTTTCCACGTGGGAAGCTTTATCCATTATTGCATGCGGTAGTAGTCAGTGTTCAGCTCATTAGCATATTTGTAGGCATGACGGTGATGGCGTCCTTTTTTCATTTTAATTACAAACATTGGAGCGTGCCGGTCGGTTGTAGCTTGGAACAGAACAGGAACCAGTTGCACAAGTCAGTTTTTTTTCTCAATCAGGACTTTCCCTCTATGGACTTGTAGTTTGAGTAGAGTGTGTAGTTGTTACTTGTTTGTGTGTGAGATTAGCAGTCGCCTGCGGTTTTCTAGAACACTTGGGTGATTACATAATGCAACTTTTTATTATTTTCGGTGAATCATAATCACAAGGGTTGAATGAGTTGTATACGGAGAATGTTCAATGGTAAACGTTAGAGAAGTAGGGGGGGACGTGTAATGCATTTACTTTGGCCATAATAGAGAGATGAAGAATAATTTCATGAGAATACCTGTACATAAAGACAAAATGATGTCTGTAAGAGAAAAGAACGTAGCCTGAGTCAACTATGATAATTGTCAAGTTATTGTTCTAAGTCTGGCAATTTATATGGGATGGGTGAGATAAGGAAAAGCAAGATTTCGACCAGATGGACTATTTGTCTTCTGACAAGACAAATGATAAAACATTTTTTTTCTAAAGAAGTATTCAGAAACTATTACTCTAAACATCAGTTCCTTCTCCATCTCCTTGTACGGAGCTAACACGAGATGGCTTTGATTTCCATTTACGCAGAATCATTACTGATACAGCAGCTACGAGCACAGCTAGCATAGCAGCCCCACAACCCATAACAACAATAGGCCAGGCATATGGGCGGTTAGCGAGAGATCCGGTGTGAGCCAAAAGAGAAGATTCAGATACTTCTGGGACGCAGCTTCCTCCTTCAGGTAAATATCCTGGAGCACAGAGTTCACAGCGTTCTCCAGTATATCCAACTTGGCAGGCGCATTCATTTTCCTGTAAACATTAGTTTCAGTAATTGCTTGTCGTTAGAGTTATTACGGGTGTGATAGATCCAGAGTTTTCGCAGATGAGAGCTTCGTCACAGAATGGGCCAGTAAATCCAACGTCACAAAGACAGAGACCATCTGATCCGCCAGTGGGAATTCCGTTGTAACAGAGACGCTCCTGGCAATGAATACCAGTGTTTCTGTCGAAGCATTCGCATTTTCCGTTGACAAGCTTTCCTGTGAATAGATTTGCATAGAGGCAGTTCTACATATGAAGGTGATACCTTTTCCTGGTTCGCAGTGGGTGACTTTCTCACAACGATCTCCAGCTAATCCGAATGGACAACGGCATCCAACCTTTCCACGGTAATTGTAACGACGACCTCCGTTCAAGCATCTTTCCTGTTCACAGTGAGTTCCTTCGTAACGAAGAGTACATTTACATTGACCCTATAACAAATATTATATTAACTAAGCTGTTTTTATAATTATTATGATGTCAAGTATTCTAAGATTGTTTGAAGGAGGTTTTTCTTCGTTCTTATTACATCTTATACAACATGTTCTATTTGTGATTAAATGTGACAGCAGAGTTAAGCTCTTGTATGTCTGTAGAAACACTCCATACTTGATAGGGCCATCTGTATGTCCAAATTGGGAGGAAGATGTCATCTAATTGAACCTTCCCCATCCTACCAGAATCATCGAAATTCCGGTCAGATATGGTCACCCACAACAAGGTTACAACATGAAGAGGTTGCAAATCGCATTCTCAATGGGTCCCAAAAGGATGAGCGCATGTTGTTAAGAGTAAATATAACATGAAGAGTGGTAGCTGTTGAGAGATTTTACAAAAAGAGGGATTAAATCATATCCAGCAGAGAGCCAGGCATTGTAAAAGGTTAACCTGTGTAGATGTGTACCAGACGGCACCACTTCACATCTTCGATGGTTTTTTAATTATTCATATCCTCCCTAACAAGGAGATTTAGGAATTTTTTAATATTTCTGAAGAGGATTTAATTCGGAATCTTAGCTTACACGATTCTCGACCCTAATTTTGACGGAAGAAAGTCACCTGTTACAGTGCCAGATGTAACTTCAGAAGGGCGTTTTGATTGAGATGAGAAGGTCATCTCACAAATTGAATCAAGAGAAGCTTGGAGCTTGATTTATGATTGAAATTTCATGCAATTGCCTTATTAAGTCTTAAGATATACTCCTCATATTAAGGATTATGGCTTGCCAGCATGGACTTATCATGTCAATGAAGATTAGGAGATTGGTTGAAAACGACTAAACATTCTCGACCAACAACCCAATAAGCTTTTGCATTTCAGAAACACAACTGATGGACAAGCCAATGATGATGTCTATGGCTGATTCTCTTGCTCAGTTTTACTCGTTTTCAGCTGATTGCCACTTCGTTAGTGCGATCGAAATAGATTTGCAGCTCAATCTCAATCGCTGTTTGATTTGAAAATGGAAAATGTCAAAAGTAAAAGTAACGTACATCAACGAATTGTCCGCCATTCTTGCAAACGTCTGGTTCGGGAAGATCATGAAGACGCTGATGAGCAGCAACAACAGTCAGCAGGACAGTAAGAAGAAAACAATTCATTTTAATCTGCAAATGGAAATGAAATAAATTAAAAGCTTAAACCGTTGCGGAGGCAAGGTACGAACGGAAATGCGAAAACGGAACACGACGACAGAATTAATGGTATAGCAGAGCTTTGAATTAACGTAACAAATAAATGAATGAAATAGAATGATGTAGTGTATAGTGAGATTGACAGAGTGAGAGAGACCTTTGTATGTGAAGCATGACCGTATATGGAAATGATCTAGCCAATTGTACTGGAAAGAACACGAGCTCTGACCAATTAATTTGACCCGTAGCTGCGTTCCTTCCTGCTTCCTGTATGAGTTGAATATAAAACATATGTATAAGTAATAGTAGAAGCCAATGAATGCAGCATTGTATCAAAATATGACGACAGAGGAGGACGAGAAGAAGAAGATGATGATGATGATGATGTGGAGATGATTGAGAAGACGAAGAAAAAAAGCTGAAAAGGAGTCTCATGTAGTGTCACCTATTAATTAGTAGATGAATGTAAGATGATCAGATGGACAAGAGATAATTACTATGATGACTATACAGTAATTATAGTAAAGAATAACACCCATATGTATATTGGTTAGTGTTGATTTGTTCAAATAGTTTATGAACACACACGACTACTACTACCACATATGGAAGATGATGAGTGAAAAGCTTGGTCGGATACATCTGTAAGACCGGAAGATGTACAAATGACAAAGTTCTAAGACGATGTTTAGATAATAAAGGACAATAGACATCTCAATATAAACTTTTCCCTCTTTACTCCCTCATAATGGTTGGGATTGCGAGATGGAAAGAGAGAGAGAGAGATAGAGAGGGAGAGAGAGTAAGCAAGAAACAATCAGAGTGGAGGGATGGGGGAGGAGTGAAAGAATGAAAATAAACTAAATTAGTTTGTAAAAGACGTTTAACTATATGCATATAATAAAGATTTTTTGAAATAGATAACTATTAGAAGGCAGATTATCGCTTTGTCTCTCTTCTACCAGCTGAATAGTTCTTTCAACATCAAACGACATTGCTCTGTGCGAGATGTAATGAAATGTGCTGGGCAGAGGTTAATCCCCTTGCATCTCTCTCTCTATTCCTCCCTCTCTACTAGCTCATTTCTCCCTTTTGAAGCAATTGCGTATCAGAATGTATAGAATAAGATAAATGCCTTTTTGTCTGAGCAGATAATTACTCTTCGGCTTAGCTTTTTTATGATTTATTGCTTGTTAGATGACAGTTATGAAATTGACTAACCGCTTCCTCCGTAACTGTTTTAGCGCGTAGGATTCGGGAAACACACCCTCGCTCATCTGATGCGATTTTCGTACAAACGTAGTGAAATAAGATTGGAGAGAGTGTTTGACGAAAATCAAATGATACGTAGAAGACTGCGTTGGCTTTTGCCATATAAGAAGCTTACGAGTTGACAAATGAAATCGGAGGAGTAACCATGAGACGAAGACTTTTGACAGCTGTAGTCATAATAAAGAGAACATTGAATGAAGGACTGGATGGGATCAAACATGAAAATTCACATGGAGGTTACAAAGAGAAGGAGAGAGAGATAGTGGAGATATAGAGAGAGATTCAAAAAAAGGGTTATTTGAACAGAACTTGAGAGAAGGAGACAGGGTTGGGGAGGGAGGAGTGAAACGGTTTCGAAAGGTGAATGGAGGGGAGGTTAAATATGCATATATTCATGGGAAAATAGTAATTGAATAACTGTTTTCTCTATAAGAGGGGGGAGTGGATTGTAAGATATCTGATTTATGATTGTATGTATTGCATTCTATGAAAGTCTGAAGGGTTTATGAAAGGTTATGAATAAACGAGAAAGTGACCAGATTTACAGCTGAGCTACAGAGGAGTGAATGAGAGTAGATGAATCACAACAGCTTGTACTACATGTTTCATAGATGGATTCGGAAGAAGAAGAGAGAATGAAAAGAATAATATTTTGAAAGCTTCCTCCCAATTTCCAAACAAAGAAGGAGCTGCAACAGAATTTGTGTTGAAAAACGCCTCGAGATAGTTGGGTCATCACGATGCTGTTGCTCATCTGTTGTTTCTCTCATTCTCTCTCTTCATCTCTCTCTCTCTCTCTCTCTGTCTCTTGGTCGACCAGCTTTACATCTCTCGAGATTCAATAAAAGATAATTAAATGAGAGAAACAGATGATTATATAATCATCTACATATTACTATTAGAAACATAACGAAAATAACAAAAAAAAAAGAATTTGAAAGAAGAAGCGACGATGTGTGTAGATGATGATGATGATGCTGAGATGGTGCTGAGATGAAATAGATAAGAAGGACAGAGGGAGGGGATTGTTAGGAATGAAAACGTGTGAAGATTTAATAAGATTCCGTACATCTCCACGAGACCTTACGTAACTGCGAATGGTGACCAGAAGAGAAAAGGTGATTCATCTGGTCATTTGTCAATGAGTGTTATAAGATCCAAGTACCTCTAAGGAATCAAAGAAATCTTTTGTCTTACCGACCCTAATCATCGGCTTGTTGTGTGAAATACAAAAGAAAAGCAAATATAAGCTGATTTGGAGGGAAGAGAAAGAGAAAGAGAGATGGGAAAGGAAAATATCAAAAAATGGAGCGAAAAGACGAAAAAACGGCAAAAATGATAATGCTGTCGGTATATTGTCAAGATTATGTGAATATGTGTTAGTACAGTATGCTTTTATGATTATTGACCATATAGTATATAATCATAAAGGTTGATAAGAGATGTTGATACACCTAAGGTTACACTTCTAAGAGTAATAGGACATATGAAAGCCTGAACCTCCCAGTCAGTGATCATAGTCTATGAACTGTATGATGTATGAACAAGAAGAGGTCAGTCTATTTGAAGTTTTTGAAGAAAAAAAAGATTTCATCTGGAACAATGACACTCATTAGAGGAAGATAGAGAGAGATGTGAATTCTGAAAGATGAAAAAATTGGTCCGGAAAATAATGGTATTGTGTGGAGATATTTCTTCCAAGTAGGTGATTTAGACAAATGACTTTGGAACAAGTGATTCGATCCAGATGTCAAAAAGACAATTAACTATATGCATATAGTTAATATCATATTGCTTACTGTTGATGAGACTGCCTCGTATGTGAATGAGATGATGAAGAGATTTTTTGGAGGGCGGAGTAGAAAAGAGGGAGGGAGGGTTGCATTGGGTATATATGACCTCCTTAATTATGGTCATGACTGTAGAGACAGTTAAACTGACATGAAAATGGGAAGTTCCGGTAAGGAAAAATGAAATTGAGGACAGGTTGAGGTGAATGAGAGACTGTGCATATCTCATAGTAATTGATTTATCCTTATAAGGTAATTGAAATATTTTATTTGACAGCTGTTCTTTCTATTCTGAATGGAAAGTTTGGTTGGAAAGAAGGAAGAGAGAGAATGGTAAGGAAGATGATGATCTATTCACACTTCAGCATATGTTCTTCAGTTGGCTTAATTACGAGAAATAGTTATAATGACAGTTACTATACATATAGTTAATTATTTTTTCTTCAAATATAAAGACAGCTTCAGTCTTTCTTCATTCATGCCATCTACAGTATGCCAGACCAGACAGTCTGCTCTATTGCTAGGCTGTTACAGAATGAGAAGAAGAAATGTAAACATGAGGAGAATGTCAAAGTTTCATGTAAAACATCTAAATACCTGATTATGTTGGGATGAGATATGAAGCAGAGCAGACCGAAGATGTAACGAACAGACGACAACGTTGTGAAAAAGAGAGAGAGAGAATGTTGTTGCTCCGCCTTCTTCTCTCCACCCCGTCATTGCGAACAGTCGTCCTTCCTTTTCTATCGTGACAACAACGTAAACGAGAGATTCGAAACTCCGCCCTCATTAGATGAGGTCGTCCTCTCTCCACAACCGATATGAGAATAGAGAGAAAGAGGAGGGAAAGCTAATGCTTCAAATACAAGCAACATGAGAGGAATAAGCAATATTGCATCTTGCTCAATACAATCGCATGTATATCATCTGCGTGGATATCATGTATGGAGAAGCTTATAAGCTATATGTAAATTGCCTAATAAGAAGATGTAGATTCACTCACTTGCAACAGATCAGATGAGAGAGAAAGCTATTCAGCTAAGCTTAATGACACTTTGAAATGTAAGGATAAGTTGATGAATATAGAATGAGTTTGAAAAGAGATAGTTCTATCCAACTTTCATCTAACTAGATCATAAAAGTATATTTCATCTACTTACTTACTACATGCGCACTCACTACTAAGCATACGGTAATTAGAATATTCCAACTTCTTACTTCATGTACAACTTGATGTGAGGTAGTAGAGCGGTTGTGCCAATCATTTGATGATTTTGCTTTTCCGAAGACTGGTCGGTCAAAGGTTTTTTTCTTCTCAGTTTGAAAATGACTGACTCCATTCAATTCTCTACCTCTTTTCTCACACTACTTGCTCTCTCTCTCTCTCTCTCTTCCTCTCTGATGGGTCCTGCCATCTTACAAATTCAATTGAATTCAGCTCAGTTATGATCTTTTACACTAATATTAGTGGAAATTTCTTTTCATCAGCCAATGTAATGCATTTCTAAGCAATTTGTTTATGAACAAACTCTCTTGCTGGAAGCAAGGAAAAAACAATGACCGTTAGAGAGGAGAAGCTTAATGATGGAGGATGCTTAAGGCAGAAGGTCATGGATGGAACGTATGTTGGCTCTGATTGTCCCTATCCTCACCTATCATTATATGCATTTAACTATAATAATTAGTTAGATATAACATATTGTTAATCATTCTGCTCATTACATCATCATCATCGTCATCAGGAGGATGATGATGCGGGTAAATGAACATGTACATATACAGTAAGTATCTACTGTATATACTATGACGTAAATATATGGAATATGAAGTTTATCAGCTGAATCTCACTCTCTCTTCCTCTCTCTCTCTCTCTCTATACTACTCCCTCTCTCTATTACTCCCTCT